AGATCAAGGGACGTCACTTCAGAAAGTTCACTACATGTTAACGAAGCGTTGTATACCCTTATAAACGAAGGTTATTCTGTATTCTTGATTTTTTTTTATTACTTCTTGTAGGCAGGTGATGCAATTTCATAATTCTGTTTGAAGTTAGATAAGTTGTAGCTTCTGTGTAAATTAAATATTAACTGATCGAAGAAAATGGGGATAAACGCCATCTCCTGGGCCTGTAACTAGGAAGTTTGTGAGCATTGAGCTCTAGCATCTGGCACCGCAGTTCCGTCCAATGAGGAATTTGGCTTCCTGCTTTTGTGTCCGAGGGGATCAGCTCAAGGACCTGATACTTATCTATTTAGATGTGCGGCTGGGAATTAGATGGTCTTGTTTAAATGCTCAGTTGTTTGGCGGATTCAAGCTCCAGCATCTTGATAGTTTAGACAACTAGAAGTCTGGAACTCCATGTCTGTTGGATCCTAGAATATCATTTTTTTGGGTTGGTCTCCACCTCCTGGGCCTGCAAGTCAGCTGTGCTGGGAGTGTTGAGTGATATCTCCAGAATTTCTACTTATCTAATACAACACATCAACAACACATACGCATTGCTCGTCCGCATATTTACAGTTCACTCCCACACCGTTGTTACATCCCTAACAGCTAACTTACAAACTCCCTCACAACACACTTTCGTACCGTTCCGCACTCTCACACACCTTTCTGCACCCCTGCAACTCATACACCCCAACCCTTATAATGTTTACATACCAAGCACTCTACAACAACACACACACACCCACCACACACACACACACACACACACACACACACACCACACACACACACACACAACAACAACAACACACTCACAAGCCCCACACCCTCACAACCAACTCTCAAACGCATGCTCACATATTCCCACACACTCCCACATCCTTCCCAAAACCCTACAACACACTCACATCGTTACCTTACCTCCACAATACACTAACACACCCTTCTCACGCCTGACAACACACCGTTTTCTCACTCCAGGAACAGCCTCCCCGTCCCTCAGCCTTGCTACACGCTTATGTACCCTTCTATCACCACCTTAAGTACAGTCAAAGAGCCTGCGGTACCAGGTCATGCTATACACCAACGTTACATGCAGGCAAGGAGCCATCAAAGAGGAATAAAGTATGCGCAGAAAAAATTGTTTTGATTATACCTTTCCACCACAATGGACACATGACCAAAGTTTTACAATTATATTGAGTTGAGGGACAAGTTTACCCAAAAAGTGAAGAGAGTTCGGATGAGAGTGTGAGAACACTCGCTACCAGAGATATTGTACACCTATACAGAAAGAGAGATCTGGTATGGATTTACCAAGACAGAAGAAGGAAAGGATCCGAATGTCTGTCCGGGATAATTTCACGTAGACGGTCAATCCTTCCTGCGAAATGGCAAACAGCCCTGGCACCCAGTTGGAACCCATGCCAAGATGGTGAAATCATCCTAGCAAGTTTAACGAGCCTTGTTCCAGGTTAGCTCAGACGATGTGAGGAGTGAGTGGTTTTGTGTGAAATACATAGACTACTTGACGAGTGTTCCTCAACAGGGAGCTGAACTAGGTCCAACTGCCAGACACACCATAGCTGTACTCACCGCATATAATAACCTCCAACGCCCCTGCAACAGCCTCCCTTCTCAAATTAATATAACTCACTTCTCAGACATCCCCATTCTGCAACAACTCACTTCAACAGTTGTCTAACTCACTCCTCCACTCGTCTAATTCACACGCTCACTTATCTTACTCCTTCTCACCCTCTAACTCACGACCAAGTACTTCAAACTCACCCCTACACTCAGACTCACTCCCACATTCATGAAAATCACTCCAACACTCATCGAACTCACTCCCACACTCATCGAACTCACTCCCACACTCATCGAGCTCACTCCCACACTCATCGACTCACTCCCACACTCATCTAATTCACTCCCACACTGCAAAGCCTCATTGGCTCACATTTTAAACACGAAGCTGCACTCCTTAAACCACACATTGCTTCATGCATAATGAAAAGAAATAAAGAAAGTCAGGGAACCACGTCTCTCTAAGATTAATTAGGAATCCCAGAAGGGGAATACTTAATGAAATTAACTGATTTTTAATACATATAATTTTCTTCACCTTTTACTTGGTTTTCATTCGTTTCTCCTTTGTTTTTACCGCTAGTTCCTTGTGATATAGCTTGAGATTTATATTTCTCATGGATCTCGAATTTTTAACAAGTGTTAGTAATTTCTAATATCTATTATATCCTATCTGTAAATATTGGAACCACATTTATAAGTATCATACTCATCCAATTTAATCAAATATAAAATATATATAAGTCTGATCTTTCAGGAGTGAAAACGAGTATCAAGTTCAGGTTTTTGAACTTACACATAATTAGGCATCCTCGAAGGGAAACCTTTAACTGTTTGTCAGATTTTATTTCCTCAAACTTTTCGTTTTTATTTCGTTTATAACACAAAAAAGGCCTCATCTGGTGGGCTTCAAATATTCAAATCTGGTGTACGGCAGTTAAGTGATGATTTTTAAGAAAAAAATGGACCTTGCGAGTGCCATATGATCAAAATTTAAGTCCAGTCTCCAGCATCCTGGAATGGGTCGGAATGGTTCGCAGTTTTAAACGCTGAAAAATTACGACGGAGAGAGAAATGTAATTGTGTTAGTGAACATCTGAGAAAGTTTGTCTAAAATAATGTGAATTTTTTATTTCCGTTTAATGACGTAAAATATATAACCCAAAAAAAAAAAGCACAATACCGTGACTGGAACAATACACAAATAACCCGCACATAGAGGAGAGGAACTTACGACGACGTTTCAGTCCGACTTAGACCATTTACAAAGTCACGCTTACTGTCACAGTGTGACTTTGTAAATGTTCCAAGTCGGACCGAAACGTCGTCGTAAGCTTCTCTCTTCTATGTGGGGATTGTGTAACGTAAAATATATTTTAGTCTCTCCTGAATGGCTTCAGTATTTAATAGCCGATACATTTTACGGTCAGGATAGTACCCATCAAGTTCAATTTGCGTGCGGGCAAATCTGTCAGTGCACTAAATTAAAAAAAAAAAACTTGGAATCATTAGAATCCCTGCAATAACTGGAATTCCAATGATCGGCTACAAATTTTGAGCTCTGATTTGTTTTCCAAAGAGCAAGGTTTTCCTTGTTATTGTCCTTCGTAAATCCTAATTTGCCAGCTTTTATTAAATATAGCGATATTGATTTCCTTTTAATAGATAAAGAATGCCTCGTCTTATCGGATTCAAAATATTAATGGTGATGCATTTCCTTACGATGAATGTCATCCTGTATATTCCCTCAACCTATATTTACAATGTTGACGTATGCAACCTGACAACGAATCAGAGTAGCCGGGGCCCTACTGTAGCTACTCCGACCTCGCTGTCAGCTTTGACTGGTACTGAAAGCACACAAGATGTGGTAATGTGATGAACGTCTTGCAAACTGTGATGTTCTCGGCGCACGCCACAGCCACCTACACTTTTCAGATACTCACTACACTTCTCCAACACACACGACACTTCTCCAACACACCTACACTTCAGCAGCACACCTACACATCTCTAACCTTCACTTCTCCAACACTTACTAGCACATTTCTATCCTTCATTTTTTCCAGCACTTACTATACTTCTCGTACACACACTTCACTTCTCCAACGCTCTTCTGACTCGCACAGTTTTCCAACACCTTAAAAATCCCAATATACACAACATTTCCCTCCAGTATTTCTCTCTCTCTCTCTCTCTCTCTCTCTCTCTCTCTCTCTCTCTCTCTCTCTCTCTCTCTCTCTCTCTCTCTCTCTCTCTCTCTCGATGTATTGTACTGCAGCTCATAAAGCTCTAAATACGAATGAGTCCTACAGAGCAAGTAGTAGTGGAGACCCGATCTTTCATCTACTATGCGGGGCCAGAACCATGACCAGTAATGTTGTCAATGAGAGTAATTTCTCTCTTGCGATATGCCATAATAGAGTGTAGTTTTTACCCTCTGAAGCCTGGGATACTCTGTTTGATCACGCAGCATTTGTGGAATAGATCACTGCATGATGATGCAAAGGAAATCCCTATTGGTAATAAACACATTAAGCTAGTTTACGAATCTATAATATTGAGAGAGCATCATTTCCTCCAGGGAGGATCCTTGATGCTGACGAGGGGCTCTTGATCCAAATAAATGAACTTTTCCTTCCAATAATATTGACAAAGCATCTTCTCCTCAAGGAAGGTTCCGCGATTCTGGCGAGGGGCTCTTGATACAAGGAAATGAATTTCTCTTCCCAGGCCTTGGATCAAACATGGCTGCCTCCCATTCCCCCAGTCAGTGTATGACCCCTAATATCTAGCGCTCCCACACGAATGTAATAACTTTCAAGTTTTTATACTTTATTTGGAATCAAACTTACCACAACCTCCTGTCTTATCTAGAAACACAGTTATTTGAATTACATATATCAGGTTTAGTACGGTCCATGATTACATGTAATCTCAGTGACATATACACTAAATGGTGACGATATTTTGGGGATATTTCGTTCATTTATGAAACTTTGAAGACGTTTTGTTCAATGCTTCGTCATTTTAACGATACGAGCCCAAACTTTATCGTATCCAGTTTATGGATTAGTTATATTTAATCCATTTTAGATAAAAGAACACAGATTGTGGACTTTTATTGTGGCAGCGTTTCGCTCTCCAGGAGCTTTGTCAGGCCGGCTTGACAAAGCCGACCTGACAATGTCAGATTAGTTACATCTATGTTCTTTTACCTAACATATTGTCAGTAATTCTACCCCCATATTTAATCCAGCCACAGTATAGTTATTTATATTTTAATCAAATTGTTTTAATAATCATTATTTGCATAATAATGTCTCTTAACAAAGAATTTCAAACAAGTAACTAGTTGTTTATTGCAGGAAAGGAGGTGGTGAGCATGGGCGTGGCGAGCATGGGCGTGGCTGCGTGTGATGAAGATTCGAGATGGGCGTGGGAGAGTGTCAGAGTTAGCTGCTACTGGCACTGATGGCCACAACAACGCTGTCCATGTCCCAGTTCTGGTTCAACACAAGCGTCGCAGAACTGAGTGTCACACAGGGTGTCGGCTTGACGGTAGCTGTAGAGGAGTCTCCGCTAGGGAGAGAGGAGAGTGGCAACGTGTCGGTGGTGTGGCCGGCAGGGAAAGGTGGAGAGACTGTGTGGGAGGAGGTTACTGTGCTGGTAGTTAAGTCCTTCCTGATGGGCAGCATCATACTAGTTTCGGTTATGGGCAACGTGCTGGTGATCATCAGTATAGGACTGAACCGCAAACTCCAGCTTCTTACCAACTACTTCCTGGTATCTCTCGCCATGGCTGACATGCTGGTGGCTTCCTGTGCTATGACATTCAATGCGTCTGTAGAAATCTCTGGACGGTGGCTCTTTGGCTACATCATGTGTGATCTCTGGAACTCGTTCGATGTATATTTTTCAACAGTGTCTATATTACATTTATGTTGTATTAGCGTTGATAGATACTATGCGATAGTTAAACCTTTAGAGTACCCTCTCTACATGACTAAAGGAACGGTATTGTTTATGTTGGCTAACGTGTGGATGGCACCAACACTCATATCATTCATACCAATCTTCCTAGGGTGGTATGCCACAGCTGATCACTTGCAGTTCCGCGCCCTACAACCAGATACCTGCACCTTCGAGGTTAACAAAATATACGCCATCTATCCTCTGCTTTTTCTTTCTGGATACCCTGCACGGTGATGCTGGTTTTGTATTACCGTATCCTGCAAGAGGCCAGGAAGCAGGAGGCAGCTATTCTCAGCCGTACCAACAGTACCTGTACTATAAATCACATCCAGCGACGTTCACCTTCATCAACTGCTCAACAAATTTTAGCAGCGTTTAGATCTTCCAATAAACCTATACTAAAGAAAAGCAAAGGAAAACGGAAGTTTCAACAAGATTTTCAACTTGGGCCACTCCCTCGAATCTCCCGTTCCGATCTCAGCAACGACCAGGGGTCATTATCAGTATGCAGGTCAGGTAGTGTATGTGGACAAAACCCGTGTACATATAGTAGAAAAAATAATAGTAATTATGTGAATGATTCATGTCAGTTAGCGTTACCACTTCCACAGGAACATTCGAGCTCACTTGAAGTAAGTCCTCGAACAATAAGTCCAGATTTGTCCTTTAACGAGGAATCAGATGAGAAAATAGACGAAAGTCCCAGTGGTAAACCTCAGTTATCTCGCAGTAGTTCCATTAGTGTTAACGGGCACACAGGAAGGGGCCTCCCTGTTAGGGTTATCAGCCCAGTGCCCTTCGGGAGGCGGGAGTCTATTAATCCTGCCTCGGGATTAAGTCTTGGGGGTGGAGGAGGCCACAGCAGCAGCAGCCATCCCATGATGCGACGAGAACACAAGGCGGCTAGAACACTGGGCATTATTATGGGAGCCTTTATCCTGTGTTGGCTTCCCTTCTTCACCTGGTATGTAGCTGTCACCATATGTGGTGACAGCTGCCCATGCCCCCAGGCGGTTGTCACTACACTCTTCTGGATCGGCTACTTTAACTCCACCCTTAACCCCTTCATCTACGCTTATTTCAGGACAGATTTCCGGGATGCCTTCAAGAAAACTCTTGGGCAGCTGAAGTGTTGCACTCGTGAGGAGGACCTCCTGGGATCATTTGTCTGACCCCAGCAGGTCTGCTTCATCGAGCTGTTATTTAATTTAAAATCTTATGTACGTCATTCATATGGAAGTCAAAATTTGTGGAATGATAATATTAGTTCATCTCAAATATTATATATTATCAAAATATTTATGTGAAATACAAAACCTTTGTCTTTTATTAATGTATTTATAAAACTTTCTGGCTTTGCTGAATTAGGTACATCAAATTCCAAACGAATTTAATAATTTTTTTAGGATACATCTTGGTAGAGTAACATGATAAAAAAAAGGAATGATGCAAAGTATTTTCAAAGTCCTTTTTATTTTCATAAAGACCCTTTTCATCAATTACTTTACAGTCAGAGTTTAGAGTCAATATTTAGAAGCAATCTATAGAGTGTATAGAATATGTGTCTAGAGTTAATGTTTAGATGAACTCCAAGGGATGGATAAAAGAGACACCATCACTATTATTAAAGTGACACCATGACTATTATTAAAGTGGAACCGTGACTATTATTTGATACTATGACTTATTAAAGTGACACCATGACATTATTAAAGTGGAACCGTGACTATTATTGATACTATGACTTATTAAAGTGACACCATGACTATTATTAAAGTGGAACCGTGACTATTATTTGATACTATGACTTATTAAAGTGACACCATGACTATTATTAAAGTGGAACCGTGACTATTATTTGATACTATGACTTATTAAAGTGACACCATGACTGACTATTATTAAAGTGACACTATTGATCTATTATTACAGTGACACCATTGATCTATTATTCAAGTGTCACCATTGATCTGTTATTCAAGTGTCACCATTGATCTGTTATTCAAGTGTCACCATTGATCTGTTATTCAAGTGTCACCATTGATCTATTATTCAAGTGTCACCATTGATCTATTTAATAATATCATTTAGTCTATTATTAGTCAGTTAATATACAACAACTGGTTTCTGACGATAATGTATTTTCTAGTTTATTAAGTCAACTACAAAAACTACATCTGCTCTAGGATTTAGAAGTCATTGTCCAGTGGCTAAATAAAAAAATTATATATCTTCAGAAAGATATGAAACCGGTTTCTAGCAAACACCTGTTATAAAGCTCATTAATTATGACATATTTAATGTTAAACAAGATGTTGAACGAAATATCCGATCATGCAGTAGTGTGTGTGTGTGTGTGTGTGTGTGTGTGTGTGTGTGTGTGTGTGTGTGTGAGAGAGAGAGAGAGAGAGAGAGTACTACCTAGTTGTGGTTGCAGGGGTCGAGTCATAGCTTCTGGCCCGCCTCTTCACTGGTCACTACTGGGTCACTCTTCCTTCTACATGAGCTTTATCATACCTCTTCTTAAAGCTATGCATAGATCATGCCTCTACTACATCACTTCTCAGACTATTCCACTTCCTGACAACTCTGTGACTGAAGAAATACTTCCTAACATCCCTGTGAATCATCGAAGTCTTCAATTTCCAACTGTGACCCCTTGTTGCTGTGTCCCGTTTCTGGAACACCCTATCGCTGTCCACATTGTCGTGTGTTGTGTGTGTGTGTGTGTGGTGTGTGTGAGAGAGAGAGAGAGGGAGAGAGAGTGAGAGAGAGAAGAGAGAGAGAGAGAGGAGAAGAGAGAGAGAAGAGAGAGAGAGAGAGAGAGAGAGAGAGAAGAGAGAGAGAGAGAGAGAGAAGGACCGAGAGAGACAAGAAAGAGCAGAGAGAGAGGGGAGAAAAGAGAGAGAGAGAGAGAGAGAGAGAGAGGGGAGAAGAGAGAGAGAGAGAAGAAAAGAAGAGAGAGAGAGAAAAGTGTCATTGAAAATGTCATTCTTGTGTGACCAAAAACGTAACAAAAATTAATGATTGATGTGTGGTCCAGAACCAGAAAATGCCTTATCACATTATTTTGAATTGAGAATTACCTAAAAAACAAACTCCATGTTATACAGCACCAATGAATGAATTTAAAGAAGCTGAAGCCAAGAATGAGAAGGTAGCTCATTAGGCCCAAAACTTTCTAAATACAATGAAAAACCCTACTCATGAGGTGGATCCAGGGAGGAAAGTGGTCTTGGTGCCATGAAGCAGAGGCTCCGTGAAAGTTTTACAAAGCTAGTAGGCTCCACCCGTCCTGTTCAAACCAATTCATGATTTAAATACATGATAAAAATTAAAAAAAAAAAAACCTGTTCCTTCACGTATATAAATAAATAATAATTTATAAGCTTTTTGGCAAATTATAATTATATGTCAGTTTCTGCTTTAAAATTACATTAAATTCATAAAGGCTCAAAGTAGCCCTGTAAGATGATGTTACATAACAGCTTTCCAGTGAGAAATTCTTTATGCATGACATCAGGGTTGTCACTATGGTAGTAAGTCACACAACTCAACAATGGTAAACATACATCATATTATATATATATATAATATATTTATTTATATATATTATATGTATATATAAATATATTATTATATATATAAATATTAGTTATTAAAGGTAATTAGAAGGTTCTTTATATATAGAGAACGTATCATGTATGTTAGTAAAATCTTTAACTCAGCTAACTTTCCACAAGACCAGTGGATACCTGATACTATTATCTCTCACCCTAAGGAAGCGCTGTCTTGCACTTGATGAAGTCCCAGTACAGTGACTTGACTCCTGCACGTGATTCCTGCACTTGACTCCTGCACGTGATTAATGCACTTGACTCCTGCACTTTACTATTACACTTGACTTGACACTCTCCTGCCTTTTACTATGTCTTGTCATGTGGCCCATATATACAATATTCCTTTAACATTTATACAATAACTTATGTGTACCAACATCATACTATAACATAGATGTACTGACATCTAACTACAACTTTAAACTCGTCAACAATAACTTGCTGAAGGTTACATTGGTGTCATCATATTAAGGATAACATTGTCACCAAGATTACATTATCATCATTTTGTTAATTTTATTATCGTCTTGTTTTAAGTTGTCATCCTGTTTTAAGTTACATTATTGTCATCTTGTTTTAAAGTTACATTATTGTCATCTTGTTTAAAGTTACATTATTGTCATCTTGTTTTAAGTTACATTATTGTCATCTTGTTTTAAAGTTACATTATTGTCATCTTGTTTTAAAGTTACATTATTGTCATCTTGTTTTAAAGTTACATTATTGTCATCTTGTTTTAAAGTTACATTATTGTCATCTTGTTTTAAAGTTACATTATGTCATCTTGTTTTAAAGTTAATTATTGTCATCTTGTTTTAAAGTTACATTATTGTCATCTTGTTTTAAAGTTACATTATTGTCATCTTGTTTTAAAGTTACATTATTGTCATCTTGTTTTAAAGTTACATTATTGTCATCTTGTTTTAAAGTTACATTATTGTCATCTTGTTTTAAAGTTACATTATTGTCATCTTGTTTTAAAGTTACATTATTGTCATCTTGTTTTAAAGTTACATTATTGTCATCTTGTTTTAAAGTTACATTATTGTCATCTTGTTTTAAAGTTACATTTTGTCATCTTGTTTTAAAGTTACATTATTGTCATCTTGTTTTAAAGTTACATTATTGTCATCTTGTTTTAAAGTTACATTATTGTCATCTTGTTTTAAAGTTACATTATTGTCATCTTGTTTTAAAGTTACATTATTGTCATCTTGTTTTAAAGTTACATTATTGTCTTCTTGTTTTAAGTTACATTATTGTCATCTTGTTTTAAGTTAAATTTCCTAATGATTTCAAATATTTTAACACAGTATAAATTATTTATTTCCTTCAATATCAAATAACCAACATTTAAATACAGAGTTAAAAGAAATATGAAGAACACGAGCATGATAAATTCTGTGATCCTTAGCCAAGGAAAATGAAACGATGTTATTAGTTTAATAAAAGCAATATCTGGGCAAATATAGAAAGACTGCGATAGAAATGGGCGACGTTCACAGAATCTTACTGTAGGTTCACAGAATCTTACTGTAGTTTGAGCTGTTGCAGGACGTTCACAGAATCTTACTGTAGTTTGAGCTGTTGCAGGACGTTCACAGAATCTTACTGTATTTTGAACTGTTGCAGGACGTTCACAGAATCTTACTGTATTTTGAACTGTTGCAGGACGTTCACAGAATCTTACTGTATTTTGAACTGTTGCAGGACGTTCACAGAATCTTACTGTAGTTTGAACTGTTGCAGGACGTTCACAGAATCTTACTGTATTTTGAACTGTTGCAGGACGTTCACAGAATCTTACTGTAGTTTGAGCTGTTGCAGGACGTTCACAGAATCTTACTGTATTTTGAACTGTTGCAGGACGTTCACAGAATCTTACTGTATTTTGAACTGTTGCAGGACGTTCACAGAATCTTACTGTATTTTGAACTGTTGCAGGACGTTCACAGAATCTTACTGTAGTTTGAACTGTTGCAGGACGTTCACAGAATCTTACTGTATTTTGAACTGTTACAGGACGTTCACAGAATCTTACTGTAGTTTGAGCTGTTGCAGGACGTTCACAGAATCTTACTGTATTTTGAACTGTTGCAGGACGTTCACAGAATCTTACTGTAGTTTGAGCTGTTGCAGGACGTTCACAGAATCTTACTGTATTTTGAACTGTTGCAGGACGTTCACAGAATCTTACTGTATTTTGAACTGTTGCAGGACGTTCACAGAATCTTACTGTATTTTGAACTGTTGCAGGACGTTCACAGAATCCTACTGTAGTTTGAACTGTGGCAGGACGTTCACAGAATCCTAATGTAGTTTGAACTGTGGCAGGACGTTCACAGAATCCTACTGTAGTTTGAACTGTTGCAGGACGTTCACAGAATCCTCCTGTAGTTTGAACTGTTGCAGGACGTTCACAGAATCCTACTGTAGTTTGAACTGTGGCAGGACGTTCACAGAATCCTACTGTAGTTTGAACTGTTGCAGGACGTTCACAGAATCCTACTGTAGTTTGAACTGTGGCAGGACGTTCACAGAATCCTACTGTAGTTTGAACTGTGGCAGGACGTTCACAGAATCCTAC